TTGTGTATCTACGCCGTTTATATATATATATACACTTTCTAAAAACTTAATGACTGTACCACCCAAAATGTTTAATTACTTTTTATCAAAGTATTCTTTTACTATTGTTTTTGCAATTTTCGGTCAACAAACTTTTTTATTTTGTTTTATTATAAAATGTTAACTTATAAAACCATTCTTATTTAATATTATTTATAATATATTTTATTAAAAAAAAAAATAAACAACTTAAAAAAATCCGGAGATAATCTTTTGTGTTCACAACAATCACTTAAAGTTTTCATGAACTAAAATAATCTAAGTAGACACGGGTATTCCTACAACAGATCACTTTCGACCATCAAATGTACTGTTTGATAAGTGAAGGGAAAATTAAGTAAGGAGTTCAGTTGTTAAAACTAATTATATTTACTTTTCAACATAGACCCCTTAACGCTTATTGCAATGTTATTCCAAAATAGTCCTCAAAATAGTGCTTGATTAGGCCCAAGTTCAATTGAAAATTCTGTTTTTTAATGTTTCCTTGATAATGAAAAGAAAAAGAAATCATAAATAAACAAAAAAAAACAAAGAGATGAATAAAAAAATTTCCTTTATCATACATAACATACTACAATTCCTTCAAAACAAAGTTTTAGAATCCAACGACGACTTCTTCTGTGCACAAATATATTTGTTAATGCAGTTTATCTTCCATGTAAGGGAACCAAAAATAAATCATTGGGAGCGAAATGAAAACTGTTTGCCAAATGATTCATTTATTCATTGTTTTTTGTACTCAAAAACTCACTTGCTTCTGTTTATGTAAAAGTATTCTCATTGTCATGATGAATAATTGTTAGTATTTGGTAGTCGCTCTCTCTAATTTTTCTTATACTTTTTGAAAAAAAAAATTATAAAAGATCTGAGTTGTTCACAGTCCAAAAATGTAAGCAACAATCAGAAGATTTGCCGATATCCGTTCTATTTTACTTTAAATAAAAAACGGTTTTAAAGTGACGCAAAAGTGATGTAGTGCGCGGTTTTTCCAGTCTCAGTCAATTGACTTGCACCCGGAAGAACGAGTAAAGGTGATAGCTGTTACCAACTTCATTAACTCACAATTTAAAAGAAAAATATGGCTATTTGATTTGAACGACTTTGGTTGTATATGTTTCATCATGAAACATCCATGCAATCCATGGCTATTTTGCTTCAGTACCATACGCATAACTCCATGATTTGTAACCCGTCCAAATTCTTCGCACATCCATTGAAACTTCACTTTTGTTCTATTGTTCACAATTGCGAAAAATGGAGATAATTTTATCGATGTACTCAATGTCACTAATCTACATCAAAAACTGTAGAAAATCGTTCCAAGATATTTTTCATGGGTTAGTTCTATTTTTCGTTTTTGAGTTATTGTACGTAACATATACCGATCTGATATGATAAAATTCTCTGAATAAAGTATAGAAAAATGTCACACTTTTAAGAAGAATAAAATGTCGCCAACTTGTGTCGAATAATACTTAGAGTTCGCAATACTCGCACTATATACTCGCACTATCAATATTAATGCCTTAAATTTATAGATTTACAAATAATATTTTATTCTCATTCCGTTAAAGTGCTCAACCACAAAAAAAGCTTAAATAAACAATGATTAACTACAACAAATAATACCATCAAATAATACCATCATTTCGATCAAAGAGAAGAAACAAAGTTCTAGCTTAAGATCTTTATCTGTTAAAAAAAAATTTACAAATTATCACAATCTAATTAAATGAAGCTTCGCAGTAGAAAAAATATCAGTTATTATACTTTTAAGTTCTATTTATTTCACTCCGATCAGTGCTCACCTTCCTATATGAAACCATAAGGGTTACAAAAATCAAAGACGCAGCTAATAGCACCAAGAAAATATAAAAATAATATGCAAAAAATAGTTTATAATAATATAGGTATATGAAAGTACTACCTAGTTGGAAAATAAACTTCCACAAGTAATTTAATTATAAACAATTTTAATGTAAACTAGAGAATCATAAAAAAAATATTTAACTACTAGTTTGAGAGCTTTTAAAGTGAGCTTAGTTTTCAAGACAAAAGCTTTACTGTCAAAGCTTACCACTCATCACGGAGGGTAAAACTATTTATGAGAGGAAATAACAATACAATGTGTTGGTCTTCAAGTCATATCAAGAAAATTATTCTATGTCAAAGCGAAAAGACACTATTTATGCTATATATACGTATAAATAAAGATTTTTTCATTTATATTTAAAGTTGTTTATTCTAATTAAATTTTTATTGTTATTTAAATATCGCAATATATAATAATAATTTAAAAGAAGTAATGATAATAATGACTATAATGTATTTAAAATGTTAATTTCTTATAATACAAATTATTTTATATTAATTTTTAAATAATATGAAAATTGAAATATTATTAATTTAAAATAGATTAGATTAATTTAGAAAAGATTAGATTTATAACAGTAAAAACAGATCTTGTATTGTAATGTTTATACAGCACATTAACCCCTTCATCGCTCACACGGAACGACAAAATGGTCAAGTACCATATTTCAGAAACAAACCTAAATCCGCACATAGTCTGGCCTGAGCTTTGTTTCCTGTTCAACGCTAACACCAATAAAATCCTGGTATTAGTGTTCAACCTTAGGAGTTCTACCAACTGGCAAACACCCGCGAGTGACGCTAAGGTCAATAACCCTATTCCCTAAACCTTAAGAACTGTTGATGGCAAAATAAGATATTCTAGGCATACCCCAATAATATATATAGTCACTACAATATATATTATATTAAATAAGTATGCAAACTACTTAACCTCAAACCATAACCAATTAAACATATTATATATATTAATAATACTGCAACATACTAAAAAATCAAATATTAAAATAAAAATTAAAAATAAAAACTAAATTAAATTAAAAATTAAAAATTAAAATTAAAATTAAAATTAAAAATTAAAATTAAAATTTAAATTAAATATTAAATAATAAATATTAAATACTAAAAGTCTTATCTGTCCATACAAACGTCCGTACAAAATGGATTTGAAACCTACGAACTCCTTTTCAGGAGCTAAAAATCTCAGTCCTCTAACAGTTTCCTCTTTTCGAAATGCAGGATGTCCTTTAAAGACTTCCTAATACGGATATCAAACGGGTATGGAATTATTTGTAAAAATTAAATATTTTTATTTTATTCTTAAAATAATTAATTCTTTTCTTTACATTTTATGTAAATAGAATGTGTATGTACAATCTATGAGCAATGAAATTTTTTTATTATTCACCAAATGACTGTACAAAACTGAATTTGTTGAAAACTACTTAAAAATTTTACAATTTAATTAGTTTTTTTTTATGTGAGAGAAAAATTGTTCGATTATAAAACTTTCCGTGTTTAAATATATAAATTAAACAACTTTAGAATAACTTTAGATTATAAAAACATCATAAACATGCAATAATTCAGTAATTTTCATTTGCATATTTTACAATACATGGAAAATAAAATTTTACGGTAGTTTTTTGAAATATTTTCCATTTTTTATATACCGATATAGTTATAAAATATAGACATAAAACTTAAGTGATCATAAAATTAAGACCATTGTGATATTAACACTGTTGTTAGTTTAATTTACTTTTGTTGCAATTAAATTTAACAATCTGTTGTTAATATAATGTAATTGAATAATAAATTTAAGAAACAGTTCACACCAGTATTTACTATAACATAATAATGTATATTTAAGTTTTTTGTATTATTAATAGCCTTCAAGTACATACTTTGTAGGAGTAATGGTGAGAAATAATAGGCTTTCGATTTTTAATCTAATCTATGTAGCATTTGGCGACAGTAGTGTCAAATATAATTGGGTCATTCTCCATATGTAACAATAGAAATGGTACTACTGTTGCACCGATTATCCCTGCCTACCTAGATTATTTTTTTTCTTTAATCACTTTAAAAAATTACACAAGTAACCCATCAATTTTTGAACAATTTTGTCCATTTTCTATCCATCCATCTTCTCTCATCCATCGCACCATCAACGCATGAAATCACTTTCTATCTAATGAATACTTAGTTTTTAGTTTGAGTTTAAATTGATTAAATTTTAAATAATACGCTTGATGTTTATTAAGATCTTTTGGTGATATATATTGTCGTGCAGTATTTATAGTGGAACGCACACAAGAGCTGCCTTTTAAGTCCTGCACCTAACAATAAAAACATAGTAATTAATCAGTGACAATGGTTTTATTATTTTTCGAACTATGCTCCATGATCAATACATTTTTACATTCGATTTAAACAATTTTCGTAACAGTATAGGGTCGGAAATTTGTACTAATTTCTGCCCTACATAAATATATAATAATTATATAATATTCATTTTGAAGTTGGTGTCTCCAAAACTAGAGTTTTGAACGATCGGTCATTTTTTCTTAATATTTAGGAACAAGAAGAAATCATTAGGTGCCAGGTAGGGACTGTAAGGCGGTTGACCCATATATAATAATTATATAATATTCACTTTGAAGTTGGTGTCTCCAAAACTAGAGTTTTGAACGATCGGTCATTTTTTCTTAGGTGCCAAGTCGAGACTGTAAGGCACTTGACCCATCAATTCGACGTTTTGAGACCCCAAAAACTCTGATGTGATGCGATGTGTGGGAGCTCACATTGTCGTGTTAGAGTGTGAACTTCCTTCGACGATTAATTTTCTTCAATTCTCCTAAGACTTCCAGCAACTGAATGGTTGTATATCACTCAAAATTTGCCATTCTATGTTGTTCAAGTGGTGTAGTTATTGCAACTATTTGCTTGGACGGTCAAAAAACATGTATTGCGTATTTCAAAATACCTATATTGAATATAGAAATATTTTTATCATATATCAAACACAACTGAACTAAAATATTATCTCATTCCATATTATAACAAGAAATTTAAAACAGTGACAATTTATGTGAGAATATAGAAACCTTTATTGAAAGTAGAAGCATAGATATAGATACATTTTTGTGTTGTAAAAAAGCAGCACTTGCGTTACTAGCCTTTTATAAAAAACCAATGAATTAAAATTTCAAATGCTAGAATATAAAAAATGTTATTAATGTTTCCAAATATAGCGCCAATATTGAATATAGACTTTATTATTTAAAATATGCAAATACAACATAATTCATTATTTAATGACAGCAATCATCATCAAACATATCTTGTTTGATCCACCCGAAGAGTAGATAACCCAAAGATAGACCCAACACAACAGCCAAGCACAGCCAATAATTAAAAGTCATGAAAATCAACATCAGCAGGTAGGAAATAATAATCTGTATCACTTTGAAGACCGTTTGCACTAGATGTGATGGCGATGTAATGCGTCCGAAAAAGCTTTCATTTTCAAATTTATCAGTCAATGGTGTGTTGGAAGAGGCACGCGCCGGTATAGTTGTACTGACGACAATATCATTACGTTCCTGTCTCTTCTTAGCACGATAATTAGCTTCCTTTTTATTAGTATATTTCAGTAAATAGAAACGTGCAAATTTTAGTGCTTCAAGACCAAAAGCCACCAAGAATATAACAAAAGCCGATATAACAAATTGGGTAACAGTACTTGCCATCCAACTATCGAAGAGTATGCGTTCACAGTGACCACCATGGAACTAAAATTAATAATATGTACTATATTAAAAATATAAAATATATATATAAAAAAATTTATTTTATATTATTAATTTATATATAATATATGTGAAAGCTTTTTAAATATTTTCTTGTACTTTTTCTTTGTTCGCTGAAGACTAGCAATCATGCAATTTCGTTGTAATTCGCAGAGCTTTTAAGGCCGTAATAATTACGACATCAAATGGAGCTTTTCAGACGTGGCTTGCACGATAAAGACTATTTGGATATGTATATATGTATGAACTATTTTACTGATTATACATTGATAAAAATAATTTGTTAACTAAACGCGTTTTGGGATTATTTTGTTGGCAAATAGTTCTTCTTCTTCTTCATTTTCTTCCTCTTCTTTTCTTCTTGAAAATTAACGCTCGTCTGCAAAGTGTTTTCGTTTCGGATTTAATGTATCGCTGAAGTATTTACACAAATGTGTACATCATAAACTTGTACGAAGTTAATCAAATAAATTTATTAAGTCAACAAAGGTAACTTACCGTCATAATCATCGGGCAGTCGTCTAAGCCGTCACCAACAACATCCATCTGCTGTTGCTGTTGCTGTTGTGTTGGGCTATGATGATGGTGTTGGTGCTCATGTTGGTGCTGGTGATGATCGTGTTCCATTGTGAAGCAATATTGTTACAATATTTATTTTCGGTGCTCTATGTTTTGGTCTGGTAACGCGATATATGCGAATAACGTTGCTTTAACGCGCCTCACAATATTATAACTGAAAATCCACACAAACGTGTTGTGGTTTTTGAATAGCTTAAAAATAAATTTTTGAATGATATCTTCTGAGCTGAGTTAGCTTTGAGCTGGGCTTGGTTGTGTAGCCAAAATAAAATTATACGTTTGATGGTGCAATAGCCGTTGTTGTCTGAGCGGTTCGACCAGCACTGGAAGCTTGTTTTAGCTTTACTTTTAATAAAAGTTCATATTATTTGGAGAGCTTACGATCTGAGTGCAGTGCAGATATAACCTTATACTCAAAGTGGACAATAATGAGACTGAGATTTGTTAACTTCCACAGAGAGTCTGAGTTACAAATTGTTTCATCTTCAATTCCAAACAAGCCGATAAATATTATGTAAATTTTTTTAACATTCATTTAAGTTATTTATATTGTATTAAGTAAAAAATTCAATACAATATTTCTTCTTTGGTTATTTAAACAAAATATATTTGTAAACAAAATAAAAACTTTTTATATAAGCAATTCGAAGCCATGAGAGCGGCGCCTGATATAAACTAGTTTTTCCAAGCATTTCAATTTAAATTTGTTATTTTACAATTCAAATGCAATTTTTATCTGTGCAATACAAAAACGAATTGCGCTGTTTTAGAATTGCACCAGAGTGAGTCTACCACTCTAGTACGCCGTACGTCGTGCTTTGAGATTCAATGCAGTTGTTTCTCAAGGTAGTCAGTTACAGGCACAAATTCGTGGTAGCATAAAGTTAACCCGCAATAAATCAAACACGGCATAAATTTCTGAACTTTTAACAGTGCAGCTGCACATTAAGCACTCAAGGTTAAATTTTATAGAATGCATATTACTATTAGATACATAGATATATAGATACATTATAAATATTAGCTTCAGTATGTTTCACTTTTATGAACATAATATATTTTATATATTGTAAGTATTAAAAGATAAATAAGTTCCATATCAATTGCTTATTTGAATTGTGTTAGTAAACAAATTTTATATAGATACATTATGAACAGTATAGTAGTTGTGATCAGTCTCACTTTAATGAACATAAAAAGTTATATATATTATAACTATAAAAAAATAAATAATTCTGTATCAAAATGTTTTTAAAATAGTTTTTCAAATTTTTTTTTATTCTTTTATAGTGTATATATATTATCCATAATTATTTTATGAGCACAATATCTTTTATATACTGTAAGTGTAGAAGGATTAATAAGTTCCATATCAATTCCTTATTTAAGTTATAATTATTATTGAAAAAGAAAGGATAGTACTTTCTTAAAAAATCTATTGTGCCCCTTAGTCGGATTATAGTGTTTTTCCAAGTTCAAATTCTGTAATGAAAGAGAGTTTAGAGCCTATCTTTCCTAGTCTTGTATCCTTATGATCCATGAAATACCCTAGGTGTTTGTTTTCCTTTCACTTATTATTTTAGAAAAAAAAAAATTTATATGGATACATTTTAAACACTACTTTTAATCAGTTTCACTTTTATAAACACAATATATTGTATAGATCATAATTATAGAAGAATTTACAAGTTCCAATAAAATTAATATTTAATCATCTTAAAAAAGAAATTTTATATGGACTTATTATAAATACTAGTTGTGATCAGTTTCAGTTTTATAAATATAATAAATTTTAAATATTTGCAAAATATATAAGAATAAAAGAATAGAAGAAGAATAGAACAATTAGTAATTCTACCTCTATCAATATATTTTTAAAATAGCTTCCAAAGTTTTTTTAGTTTTTTATATTGTATATATATTAGGCATATTTAATATTATTTTATGAACATAATATATTTTATTATATATATTGTGACTAAAAAATAGTTAATAAGTTTCATAACAAATGCTTATTTAGTTTATTTAAATACTGTATATATGTGTATTAGAACTCATAGACCGTCCTTGTCTCTTCTAGTCTCAGATAGTATAGTTATAGTTTCATGTTCATGTTAAGTTTGTCTGCAGTGGTTTTTTTTTAACGTTTAATATTAATATTCACGTATAAACAATTTCAATTGTTAAAACTATTTCTAAAATATTTGATAACATATTTTTACAAAGCAAAAACTTTTTAGTCTCTACCATTAACAGCGCCTGAAATATAGCTATTTAAAAATTAGTCTAAAATGCCAGTTTTCAAAAGCCATATCTCCAAAGAAAACAATTTAAAAATTTTTCCACATACAAAAGTTTCAATTTTAAAAAAGAGCTTAAAAAAAATATTGAAGATGATGAGGTTAAAAGCTCATCCTCTTGTAAAAGAATGATCCATATAATTTGAAGATACAATATATAATTTAAGTTACATATAATCTATATCGGGTAGTTTCCTCTCATAATAGCGTAAATACAAAAAACAATATATAAGTAGTCCGGATACTAAAAACGGTCATTCATATAATCTTTATAAAAACACTTCAAAATAATTTAAAAATTCATTGCTATATAGTATATCTCACTTACTCATAAATTCTTCAAGGTCTAAACTGTTTTTAAGTAATCTGAAAATTTTTATATGTATACCAACAAGCATCTATTATTTCACTAGTTCAATATTTATTTTTTGATATATACTAAGATATTTGTTTACTATATTCATTTATAAAAATGTTGAGCTTTTTTATCTTAATTTTTCCTTTTTTAAAAGCACAACATGCGATAGAATTATTTTGAAGTTCGTTTTTCTTAAACGGACTTTTCAAAGAACAGAAAATTAATGCCAAAGTCTGGAGAAAAATTATTTATAATGGAACTAAATTCTAATAAGACATTTTTATAACAATTATTTTTACAAATAATTAATTCCTCACATTAAAATCATAACGCAACTGCCAGACAGCATGCAAAGCCATTTTATAACTAACGCAATGCTGTATTATTATGTCTAAATGCTTTCCTCCAGCACTATTTACAAATTTTATGTGAACTTTAAATAAAGTGTATGGAAATAAGAAATCATGTTAATTTAATGTTAATGTGACTAACTAGTGAAGATAGATTAATAAAGTATTTCCATATAACTAAAATTGAATTTTTTTTAGAAACTCAGAGATTTACACATTAAATGAAACACAAGTTATATATTTAAGCTTAGGGAAATTTTCGTATAAAACTTAGTATTCAACTTATTATTATTTTTATTATATTAACTTGAATCTCACTAACTTAATTTTATTTACTATAGACACTTGTCAATAATTATATACTTTTGAAACATTGTAATATGAACATTAAAAACAAACAGTGGAAAATAATTAATATTCAATCGAAACTTATCTGAAATTGTTTACATATGGAAAAATTGTTATTAAGAGCAGAAGTTAATTATATACTAAAAATTTTCCTTGGAATTGTTTTGCAATATTTTGAAATTTTATTGAATGAATTTAAACTTACGCAAAACTTTGAAATTTTTTAAATTGTTGATTAATAAAAATATTTTCAATGAGAATAATGTTAATGAAGTGGTTAGAAAATAGTAAGACATTTAATCAAAAATCTCTCATTATAATGTTATTTTAATACAAGATATTATATTATACTAAGCGATTAGCATCAAAAAAGTAGTAGCTGTTTAAGATATACTGTCAAAGTTAGTGTATCAAGAGTATTTTTCGTCAGGACTTTCATTAGTTTTTGCAAAATTTATTTGACTCTGATGTCCGAAATTTCTAATTATTCGACTATAACCCTAGCTGAGAAGAGAAGATGAGGTTCTATTCTATTTAATATTAGAAATTTCTGATTAACTGGCTTTTGTTTTAGCTTAAAAGATCATATAAGGTCGAGTACTTCTATCTCTGTCTGATATTAGAAATTTTTAAATATCCGGCTTTGATCTCAGTTAAAAACAGAATAGAGGATCGATCATCGACTTAATTTAAAGTTCTAATCATTTAACTTTTATTTTATGTGAAGAGAATATAAGGCCGTGTGCTGATATCTCTGTTAGACATTAGAAATTTCTTATATAAGATCTTTGCCAGAGTTTGCAACAAATCATCATAGATTACGTTACCATCTCAACATGATGGGTCTGTTTTAAGGAATGAAATGCCGGTTCTGTCTTTTAAGTTTATGCGTCTGTCTTTGAAGCGACTGTTCTAAGGTGCAAAATGTCAAATATTATATATATATTTATTAAATAACTTTACATCGAGAATTAATATTATTTATTACATTTCCATATAAATATTTTATTAAACTTTTAGCAAAAAGAATTAAATATAATTGTATATGAAAACTCAATCATTTGCTTCTCTCAGCTGCTATAGTTGTTAGTTGTACTGATAAGTTTGCAGCTCAAATCGCAGTACATTTGTATTGAATTTCGTCTCTCCTTTTTTAGCAGTAGCCCGCAGTTAGCAGTTTAGTGTGCGGAAAAGTTGGCCGCACATTCATACGTTACAAGTGTGTTCGATTTTGTTTGATCACTGCATAAACATGTATGGTTCTGAGTACAAACTCTTTTGTTTGAAAAAAGTTGGTCTGATATTATAAGAGGAGTGTGAAAAGTTGTGTTTATTCCATATTGATATAATATTAAAGTTATATATTTATATATATTATTAATTTAATTTATTTAATATGTTATTACAAGTGTGTTCGATTTTGTTTGATCACTGCTTAAACATGTATGGTTCTGAGTACAAACTCTTTTGTTTGAAAAAAGTTGGTCTGATATTATAAGAGGAGTATGAAAAGTTGTGTTTATTCCATATTGATATAATATTAAACTTATATATTTATATATATTATTAATTTAATTTATTTAATATGTTATTCTTTTAATAAATTGTTAAAGATCATGTTGTGTATATATTGTCGCCTAATGTAATATAGTTATTATTAGTAAAACATCTCATATATTTAAATTTATTATTTTTAATTTAAGCGGTACATGTAAAAACAACATTGTAGAAGGGTCACACACCCTTCCAGATAGGACACGTTTCATCACTGATTCTTAGTGACTTTACAACTTTAATCTGGACTAGAAAGATATTGATATTCAGATGTCTGAGTTGGTGAAACAGCACCTTTACTCTATTTTATCTGTGGACAGTTTTAAGTCACACTAAATACGGGGCTTTACGGGGCTTTATAATATGATGGATCTGATGTCTTTGTATCTGCCTGTGTTTAAGAAATTTCGCTGTATTTTTAGGATACTGAGAGTTGGATTAT